TTGTCGCGGATTGTAATTATACTCGAAAAAGGTCGCTTAGTCAGACAACGGGCAGACAAAGCCCGCTAATTCTCGGAACATGGAAGAAACCATAGGCATCTCGTTGTAAGATAATGATAGAGATAATTTCCAGCCACCGTTAACGTCTAATAAAATCCAGTCATGGGTGGCGCTGACAAACGAAAGACCTAGGGTCCGGGTAAGAGGCGTGCTTTTTCGTGTCACAATCCAAAACTAGTAAACCGCTCAAATTAACCATCTCCCGATGTTTGTCGACAGTTGGTGGTTTTTCGGAGGAAGGGAAGGATCTGAAGGTTTCTGGGCAAGAGTCGGAGGGGAGAATGTACAATTCTGCAAACACAATACATAATTCGGAAGTTAAATACGCTTGCGGAATTACTGTAGGTAGGAACCATTTCTATAAGAAGGTAGTCGGTGGCCAGTTACTGCCTGCGATCGGATGCAATATCCCACAACTTCCACCCTAAAATTGCAAATGTTCACTTCCTCCTCAAAGCGGAGATGGGGTTCCTCTCAACGGCAGGGCCAGGATTTATATTTCCTCAGTCGATACCCTCGCGGGACTATTTCTGACCCTCTTCCTGCAAATTTTGACTTGGGCAAGCAGCATTCGTTGCGGTTGACTATCGTCAGGTGGAGTAAAGCATGCCCTAAACAAAGGAAGCCGTGAAGGCTACTTGACCTACTGCACAACTTTGGAACCACCGAGGCCAATCGAACGTGGCATCGCCCACAGCGATTTACATTGACGTGACGTGTATGTGTGCGACACCATTTCATGTCACCGATATCCCTTTACTTGCGTGATGTGTATTTAATACGCGTGGTGGACGGCAGCAGGTTTCGCAGTGGGGTAGCGCCATAGGACAGATTTTGCAACTGCTACTAGCTGATGTCATGGTCTGTAGCCTTTGTCTACCAGCGGCCCCCCTAACAGTGATAATAATAACAATAATCCGAGTTGGCAGGAGCCCGTATCAGTTGAGTGAGGCTTACTTGCAATGGCGACATTCCGTCAAGTGGAACGGGTGGTGAAATAATGCTGACTAACTAGACAGAACGATGCTTCAAAACTGCATTCCAATTACTGGACGTGGGAAATTAGTTAGCCGGCCACGTGAAAAAAAACACGAGGGATTCGCTGTGGTGGAAACCTGTCTACTGAACACCTGCTAATGGTATGACAGTCAGAAAGTGTGTTCTGTGCTGTCGACCCAGAAAGCCGCGCCGAATGTTACGCCGCCCGATCTCTGGTATACACGTCTGCCGTTCTTGCGAATTACTCGGCGTCCCCTACATTGAAACCTATGAAGACAACCTACTTTGTGCCTCTGTCGTATAACTATGCCTTTTGTTCTACGTAAGTTTTCAGAAAATGCCACTGGGAAGTTTAATAACCAGAGGTCGATCCAGAAGCTTCATTCGTTCGTTTGTTTGCGTTAATCGACTGAACCGGACGAGACAACTCAGATATTTGAAGATAACGCGGGGGCGAGAAAGCTTCGGTAAACGTCATCAAACCAAATTAGATGTAGAGAGCCGTGCAACTTGACTAATTTAATATCATCAAGCGAACTCGTCATCAGACATAGAAGACTCGACACGAGATGGGACCAACGGCTCATTATATGACTCGTGCCTTCCCAGGTAACTTCTAGTCTTGTGTGACCCGGTCAAGGACAGGTGAGTTCAACAGATAGCAGAATTAGAGCCTGCCGGCGAGGTGGCCAGTGTATGCATATTATTCAGGCTAATATACTGCCATTTTTATAAGCGACGACAGCATGTCGTAAGATTCGTGCATGCAAAGAGACGATCGAGTGCTCAGACGCAAATCCGTTCAAAATGATTGTGTGGCCGTAAAAAGTTATTTTTATCGCGTAGTGCGGGGCATCCCACGCTTACTGGGACTAGGATCTGCATTTTATGAAGGATTAGGTTTCTATTACGAAAATGAATTATTGATGGGACTTCAGCCAAAAAATAAAGTCACGGTACATTCTAAACAAACGGCTTAATTAATCGACAGAAAAACCTTCAGATCAGGAACACGGGAGTTAACGTAGCATCGCATTTACATAAATTAAAGTATGGGGATGTTATAGGTGAAAAATTCGGGAAGTCAGCAAACGCACGACTTGGAGTACTAACCACTAAGTATTTATAGCAGGACACATTACGGCAGGGAAGGATGAAAAACGGTCAATTTTAGGGAAAGTGGAAAAGGGCTCAGACGTTAAGAGGAAGGAGCCTAGCGGAAATGCCAGCGCCCAAAAAGGTCGGCGAAAACCTACCTCCCTTTCAAGGGTGAGTGGGGCAAACGTGATCAAGCGACGACCCCGATGCACGATCAAACGGACAGGCCGCCTCCGACTTGGCGCCATAACAGTCACTCCAGTTAGGCCAATCAAAGACATCCTACCTATCGACAGTTCGACCGTCGTTGCCGACGATGTCCACCGTGAGCTCCACAGAAAGGTGAAGCAGGGACTGTGACTTGCGCGTGAATTTGTTTATAATGAATGTATGCATGCACTGCATCTACCGCACTCTCTCTTCCCCCCTCCACCTGGACTCGGTGTCATGACAAAGTCAAGAAGGTCGGAGGCGAGGGAGGGCTCAGTTGGATGGCAAGGTCGAGCCCGCATCTAGACGTTCCACTCCACACCCCCTGGTCCACACAGCAAATGATCAGGTTTTTGACTAACAAAAATTGGAGGGGAGTGGCAGGGGTCCCAGTGTGCGTGCTGTCTGTCGGCAATCGGGTCTGCCACCACACCCCGAGATGTTGGTATTTGCTATCGTGCGCAAATCCGGTGACGCTTGCCAGAATCCGATATGGCCCCGTGTTGGTCCAACGCATCTACCGCGTGGCCAATTTGGGGACGCACAGACATCCTACCTATAAACGTCACGTCAAACTCTGAGTGTGCATGTGGTTAAGGATGCAAATGCATTGGGCGCACGTGAAGACAGTTGGAATCTCGGCCAGCTGCACGTATGGCGAACTGGATGTTGGGGCGGAAAATAAGGCACCCGATTTAATTACGAAAACATTGGTCGTGTGGTGAGCCCAATGGCTGCGTTTGAAGTCCTACTTCGGGAGACGACTGGGCCTCATGCGCCCTTCAGAAGCCATGGCAGTACGAAGAAGGCCAGAACCATGCAAGCATTTGGCTCACATGATCCACCTCGAACTACAATAGTCGTAGAAAAAAGCCCATACCTTCACTTCCTCCACAAGACTGACTAATGTTCCGTGATGTGCAGTCGCAATCACGTTTGACGAGGTTTCGCTACAATCCGAACTCGCTAGTGTATACAACTTCCCCTCCTCACTGGCAACATACCCACGCGAAGGTCAGATCAATCGTCCGTCTTTTTATTTACCTATCACGATTGATCTCATAAGCGTTTTTCCTATTGATAAACTTATTCCAGATTTGCGATGTTCGTGAAGGGGGTCGTGAAGTCCTACGGCATCATTGAGTTCTGCATACTTCGTGGACTTTGTATTGTTCAAACTTATTCCGCAAAAACAGTGTTCTGGAAGTAGTTATGAGGTCATTTGGGAAGTGAAGGACGACTAAAATTGCAGACCGCGTCGCCGATGTTTGCGTTTTGTTGCCAGAGCAGAGGTCGTATCGGGCGAACAGCCAGGTATTCACCAGGGTAGATGCGATGGCACCACCCTACTCGGTTGGATCAAGGCGTGGTGAAGTCCACCTGCATCACAACCATGGCCCACCTAATTGACGTCAGCCAAGACACCCCAGTCATTTATAAGGCACCGGTGCTAAACCAAAAATTGCTACACCGGAGGACCTCTGTGACAGCAGAACCGGCGTCCATACGACTATCCGACTCAGCCATGTACCCACGGACCTTTATTCAAGTCATCCAGTTACTTCGGCTCAAGTTGAACTACACACATCCTTGACTGCACCATGCGACGTCATATTAGAGCGACGAAACACCACTACACCCCCCCCCTGACGCCCTTACTCTGCCCCAGACCTCAGATCGGTAACAATCGGGAGATGGCACCCAAAAAAATCCGTCTAATCAAAGCAGCCTGTCTCATGGGACAGGTGGTAATAGGGGTTTTATGGGTGGTGGCTGGTCGGAATGTACGATACTCGCCGACGGAAAGCCTTATTTGAACAGGTGAATGATTGAAGTTGGCCCGCTCTCCGTCCCGTTATTACAAAATGGGTCGCCAGAGGCAGTATGGTGGTAACGGACGAGTGGACGGCGCATAATTGTCTTCCCTCAGAAGGTTATTTTTAGGTAACGGATTTTTTTGGGTGCCATCTCCCGATTGTTACCGCTCAGGCACCCCTCAACCCTCTCCCCCTCGTTATCCACCTTCACTGTTGGCCTGACATAACACATATTATCGTACAGGTCTGATGACGGATAATCTAAGTAAACACAATTATCGATAAATGTCCCACGGGGAATTAAGACTTCACTGGCGGTTCAGTACAGTAATGTATGTGGCGTAATACGAGAACAGACCTTAAGCGCACTACTGGCGCAGGCGAACTTTCACCCGAGATTACATCCAGGAGTTTAAGTCAGAGTTTCATTTAGTTGCATCACCCTTTGACAACGCCCAAAAGCGACCTGCTCTGTACAGGAAACGTAACATTGCAAAATAATGAAAAGTGTTAGAGACCCGCCCACTGAAGAGTGAGTATTTCGGATAAGAATCAGGACGTAGGGCAGTAGACACTGAGCTGACAACCCAACGAGCGGAATGGGGATACGCAGAGGGAGTGGGAAGCGGTGAGGGTGAGTATCAGACAAAGTCAAGGACAAAGGAAGGCGGTGGTCCTAGGCATGGGCCTAAGTCCACAGATGAGGCGTAAGGTCATACGGCCGGACGAGGACCTTATAGGCAGGCGAGGAATGCACAAACGAGAAGCGCAATGACATCGAAAGACCATGGCGTGGTGTGGGAGCGATAGCACAGTCTACTTTCCGGACTGAGCGGCTATCCATTCGAGCCCCTGGGTGAGTCTAGAAGACAAGGAGGTAAAATGCATGTGCAAGAAAGAAAGCGGACAGCGAAGTAATCTACAATAATCAATGAGGTTAGGGTGAGACAGATTTAGGTAGGGGGCGGGAGAAATAATCACAGAAACTGCATCATATTCTGAATGGTTATTGGATTCTGAAGTAACTTCCAAACGGAAGTCACAATGGCGAATCAGGTTAGTGCTTTTAAATGCTTGACGGTGAAACCCTCCGGCTTCAGGTAACTTTGCTGTCCAGTTGAGGGCGATGATCTGAGCAGCCCTTACGCCAAGCCACGAGACTAACAAACGCCAGTGACGGTAACATTTGTCCTGAAGGCACGTAAGGACCGAACACAGGATCTGGGTTGCGCGTGTCCTCTAGCCCCTCATGTGCAACGGACGACAGTTTCCATCCGACACAGACGCTGTACAGTAGGACCGTTAATAACATTTCACATTCCCTAACGCGTGTGACAGTTCGACCGTCATTTCCGACGATGCCAACCGTGCGCTCCACAGCAAGGTGAGAGCCCGTTGACATAGATTACCTCAGGCTCAGCAGTCGTCAAAATCCAAATATTGGTTTGGGCCTAGTAGTAGACACTCTGCAAAAAGGTATTGAGTACCTTTGCTCTACGTGACGTATGGCTCAACCCGTACTACCTGTCTGCCAGCGCCGGATGAACGAGGCGTCAAAGCAGATGACTCAGATGGATAGGCCAGACTGCTTGACTATCTTGAAAGACGTGGACTATATGATACTTACTAGGCTGCAAAACGCATCTTTTGCATAATAAACTTTCAAACTTTTAATGTCGGCAACTCACCGCAGAGGTTTATTCCGGTGCTCACATATCATCAGCTGGCAATAACCGAAATATACCCTCGAGGGGACCTATGTTAGGGTGACAAGGTCTAAGTAGGTATAAGGCACATCGAGGATGAGACTGAGGAGTTAGTGGCCAAGTTTTTCGAGTGACGTAGGAAAGTCGATATCCAAGGACACATGATGCAACTAGTATACGAATTCGAAAAACATTGCTGAAATGCCTTACGCGAAAATAACACATCGAGTTCAGGCCAAAGTCTCGAAACAGGGTAAGTTGGCAACTGCCAAGATACACAGGCCTCCTAAATTTCGTAAAACAGGCGTTCCACCACGACCGATAGTACATTCGATAAGTGAGCCAGATTAAAAGATTTCCAAGTGGGTATTCCACCAGTTTAAGCCGCTTACTAGGAATCCAGAATCCCAATTGACGACAGAAGGTAGTTCCTAAACAAACTAGGAAAAAATTTGTGGATGGCGAGATAATGCTATACTTCAACGTGACCTCTTGGTTGAACTCGAGTTCATTAGATTTAATGAAATGCCTCACTGAAGAATCACTCCGGATCCAAATAACGGATGTGCCTAGGAATGGTTTGGCCCAACTTTGAGATCTTTGCCTGGAAATGAACGTTTCCTTCGCTGGATAATACTGCCAGCAACTAAAAGCAGCATCTATGAGTTAAGCTATATCCGGGCTCTGGTAAAGTCATAGTACAGAAATTAGACTATACGATTCTACGTACAGTTAACCCAAGACGTGGCTGTGCTATTTACGTGATAAATCTTTAATTGTCCAACAACAACCTTAGTCTCACCTTTCCAAGAATAGAATTTCGTTTTGGAACAGAGATTGGTGGATTAGATGTCCTCGTACACCGAATGACATGTACTCATAGGTTTTCCTACAGTGCGAGGGTAACCATCTCGTCTCTCATGAAAGAAGATCCGCAAATAGGTCGCCGAATCGATCCAAAATTCGCTGCCCGATGAACAAATTTATCGAGCAGGAATTACTCTTCCGAAATGGACACCATTGTGGTTTTGTGCGTCTGTGCATGAAACCGGGCGAATTCAAAACGAGAGGTAATTTTAAGACTGTGGCTGCCTGCATGACGAAACCAACCTTCTGGTGAGACCTTCTTTAGGTGAAAAAAGTGCCGGAGCTAGTCGAGAAACGGCTGAAAAAGCACGATGCACACGTAGCACATGTGGCGACAACCAGTTTTCGCATCCAGCTTTGTATACTCCAAAGAGGGGGCTCACTATTTTGACATAAAAGAAATTGTCTACAAAACCCCATGAACCAGCATATCGGTATTAAAGTCACAAACAGAAGTCTCAAGGAAAAGTGGAGACGAACACAACCGATCATAACCAAATGCAGTAAGCAAGTATTGGTGTGGAATTTAATTGGTCACAGAATATTTGTTAGACACAGTTACAAAGGTGTCTGTTTTATGAGTCTTGCCTACACGCCAGAAAACGAGTTCCGGAAACGGTCTCGAAAATATACACAATGAAGAGGTTAGTACTCGGGGTGACTAGTTTCTAACGTGTAGATTCAAGGGGTGTGTTGAATGATATGCGAGTAGAATGGCGCTGCACTTTTTCCGGCTTATTCTACGTCCATTTAACAAGGCACAACCCTGACCACCATGTAGGACCGGAAATACAAACACGCGCATGTGAACAGCGCAGATAGTTCAGATGGGTCATATGAACTGTGTTGGACCGAAGTTCGTGAATGCCTCGCCACCTGACATCCTGTCGCTGCAGATCGGGTGTTTATTCATAAGGGGATAGGCGCACATCTCTGACGATATACATTAGTCAAGTTCGGCCTGATGTATGATTGCACGTCCGTGGCCTCTATAACTCACTAGGAGCTCGTTTGCTTCGGGAAGCTAATGGGTCGGTATTCGCCTATTACTGTATTACGAGCATGTTCCATAACCTGATCGGTGAGCGCCCACTGCCATAATTGATATTCCCGATCACAACCGACAGGACAACGGACCCGTGGCTCAATGGTAGAGTGTCAAACTCCATAACCAAAGATCCCGGGTTCGGATCTCAAGTGATTCACGATTGAGGTTGGGTATGACTGGCTGATGACAGCTAATAAGCCAGAAATTGCCACTCCGGTCTCCCTTGTCTTTGTCGGCACCATCTCATACATATACTTCGAGAAGCCAATTGATCGGTGTGCGCCCATTCCTGAGTGAATAAATACACGATCTGCAGCGACAGAGAATGACAGGTGGCGAGGCACCGATGAACTTCGGTTCGATGGAGTGCTTATGACCCATCTGGTAGACCCCAGTGGTGGACCAGCTGCGCCAGGCGTATCTGTGCGCATGTTTGAGTTTCCGGTCCCAGCCGGTGGTCAGGGTTATGGTTGGCTGAATGAAGGCAAACAAGTCCGAAACAGTTCTGTATCAGTCTATCCCCCCCCCCACCCCTAGAATTCGTCGTCTCCCCTCTACCATTATAGTTTGGCCGGCTTCGGCCTGGTAGGTGGTTGCCTGTTCGTGACCCTTATCACCCATACGAAGGTTGTTTGCTTCGTGAAGCCAATGGATAGCTGTGCACCCATTCCTGGGTGAATATATATATATATATATATATATATATATATATGCATTCATAAATTCTATGCCAAACACATGGAGTTTACTCCTACCCTTCGCCAGTGAGGGCACAGCATGCTTGTATATGCCAAGGGTGGTCTTTTATGGATGTCAAATTCAACTTGTGGCCGACCTCAGCCACCGACATGCAGCCGATAACATCCTGCTTGTTGGCAAAGATCAATATTTTGGCCTTCCGCAGGTCCTAAAATGAACGACATTAGGTTGTTGAGCGCTCAGGCGACGATACCTCTGATGCCAAGATGTTGTAGAGTTCAGACTTTGAAATCGGCAGTCGGTCTCGGTCGGTGCTGTCAATCACTAAAATAACAAACTACAAAGGACTGTTAAGAAGGACAATGGACGGGGCTTAATACCTCAGACCCGGCATAATATGTGCTCCAAGTGGGTCGCAGCGACTCCTGGCCACCGAGGTCCCACATAACCAGGTGCAGATTTCTCCACTTGAATTCTTCAACGTTGCTGCCAATGGTTGGCGACGTCTGCACAGCCTCGTTCAGCACAAACTGGTACAGTATAGTCGACTTTCCGGCGTTGTCAAGGCCCACAATAACTAGTTTTGTGCCCTCAGGACGAAAATAACTCCATATTTTCGAGAAGAGAACGCCCATGAAGGGACATATATCAAGGCCGTCTTTGAAATAGCTGTGCGAAAAAAGTCATAGATAAAGTCAGACCAATCGAAAGTGAACCTAAGACAAAAGTGTACCGAAGTTAATATGAGAACCGCGAAGACGCTTTCGGACAAGTTGTACTTACGATGGGAGGTGTAGGGGTTGGATTGAGAGCGTGAATGATAAATATGGACAAACGGAAAATGTTAATAGTTTAAAATGGAAGAAGGAAAAGATGAGGAGAGTTCCGGTGAACACCCACGACTGCAAGGACGGCGAGATAGATCAAAATGTCCCAGTATAGATCCTAGGTTGTGTTGATGACACTGCTTGCTTGACAGCTTGTCTATGAAAGTGCAACCCACTCGAGGGTAAACACGGAAACAACTTGAAATCTGGCTGGATGCATGGCGTGGAAAAATCTGGGTGGCCTAATGAAGGGGGAAATAAGTCAGTTCCTTGGAAGGAGACGAAGACTCTAGATCCTTGTTACTTGCCAAACAACATATAGCTTGCCTGCAGAGCATTCTGCAGCCATCAAGAGAGTAAGTCTATAGGGATGTCTCCCGGCTAGAGTTACAAGATTACTGCTGTGGTATACTTCAATGGGCCCACAACCAAATCACCCGCAGCATCACTCGTCCTATGCCGCACTAATGTCACCATCGAGGAGGCCACAAAAGTGACAGGAGATGGTTATCCTTACTGTATTTGCATCTTCTATCATTAGTGCTGTTTGGTCAGTTATCACTACAGCCTATGCCCGGTGGTGGCCGGACGAGCCGCCAGCAGTAAGTTCCCCATTGAACTCATTCAGACATCCAAAACTGCCGGTCCCAACATTACCCACAGGTTTGACTTGAGCAGTCTGTTCATCCTGTAGTTGGCCATCAAGGTGGTGACACTAACTCGGGCAGGGATTCAAAGAGATGATGTCGCAGGTGAGTTCCCACTCCCCGGGTGCATGACCGGACCATCTGAGACGGCCTTTCCACTTGATTGTGGAATTCTATTTTGGGGATGGATTCAGTCAAACGAAGCCATAATATTCTCCACAGGAGCTTGTTCATGTCAACAACACGGAGAAATCAAATACTTGCAGACGTGATGCATGACAACAGGAACTGCTGCCTCGAACACTTGGGCATTTGCTTCTGCTGAACCAAAGGCACTTTCAATCGTCAGAATATGCTCCGAATAAGTGTTCTTGCTGCGAGTTGCCTAGGTCTTTCTCCCTCCTTCATTTTCCATCTTAAAATCTGCCTGTCACGTCAACCGAAGGGTTGCACAGCGTTCTAAACTGCAGAGCTATAATGTAAGTAGTAAGATGGGTAAAAGGCTTAAAGCGGTCATGTGACATTAGGCGCGGAAATTAGTTTGCAAATACAGTATATGATTAAGCCATGAGACTCGGGAGAATGTTAACAAATGAGAAACGGCAATCCCATTAATTGACTTTCGGACTGTCAGGGCTGGGTCGGAACAGCTTTGACGGTAACAGCGGACTGACATGATAATTTGACGTTCCGATCCATTCCATTTCACTAATCGCTATCTCGTTTCATATTTTGACTCAAGTACACCAGTTAAGAGGTAATGAAAGTCCTACTCTGTCGTATTCCTTGGTCCTGACTTTTCTGTTTGATCTTGCCCGTCCTCTCACAATCGCATGTCTGTGGCTCACAGATGAAGACATAAAAAGCCTCGAAGGGAGTGTGACCGGTTTATCGGAAAAATGGGCCGAGTGCCGGGGCTCTCGAAAGCTTCTGATTGGTAACCTGACAGTAATTGGAAATATCCTCGACATAAGGCAGAAAACAATATGACAACAGGTTGCATCTCAGGTTCCACAGGGTAAAAAACGAAAGGAAATGTGTGGGAAAAAGACTTCGTCCACCTCATTCACATTTCAGACAGTTTTCGTGAATGCGCTAGTAAAGTTGCGTGTAATCAAAGCATTTTAAGTGGTAATGTCACTTTCGAATGGCGTTCATCGATCCATCCTAGTTATAGGACGGAACATGAGCAATTCTGTCTTGTACGGGAAATCTGACGATTGAATAAGAGCGAGAAAGAAATAACTGAGGGGGAATACCCAGAAAGAAAGAAGAAAGTAAAACATGTGTACTTTAGCTTAGTTGTCGTCCTAAGTCAGGCATATTCTCATTCCTGGACGATCGGATAATGACAGTAGATGAGCCAGAGGAGACTATTTCAGCGCCTTTCCTCTTAGGCGTAATGATTCATGAGAAACGGAACTATCAATGAGTGACAGTCACGTAAAGTGCACTGGCAGAATAACCCATGCAATTGGTGCAGGTCATCTCACCATTCTCCAAGATAAACAAAGGTCGGCGCGACGAGGCCTACTATTCCTAGAGGGAACGCAGTGGCGACTTACAGGCTAACTTATTTGTAGTGACGCAGACATGCGTAACGTTTACCTCACTCCTTTCCTGCATCCACTAATTTACAACACCAGGATCCGGTCAGGACTAGTGAAAACAGGCTTGCACGTATAGGTTGACGGGGCTGAACTTAATCATGTATTTACAACATACGTGCTAGTTTCTCAAGCCTACAAAAAGGAAGCTTTGAGGAGAAGGGGGTCTCAGATCCCGCACGGATGAAAATGCCATAAATACCGTTAGGACTGAGCCACTGTAGCTCGACCTTAAGCCAGAAGGAGGACCTAGTTATTCCGTCAGTTGGTAAACTTTCAAGGCACGACAGCCAACGCGTCCAGTCGATTATAATGGGAAAGTAAACGCTAGATCCCGGCAGGAACAATCCCCTTCCTTTGTCCTCTAATATACTTACGGCAAATCAGAGTTAGCCGACTGGATAAGGTAAAGCGCAGTGACCGATGTGATACGAGGTGTTCGTTTACTGCATGTTTCACCCAAACTCACGTGCGATGCGTCATCCGTTATTAGTGAGGTTAGTAAGTTTAGGTGAGTGATTGTTGTATAAGTATTAAGTACTTGTTTTCGTGCACGAGCATGTGAAGGAATAGATAAATGTTAAGTCAATCTGTACAGGGATGGCAGTGACAGGTGAAGCAGGCCTATTGCGTACTGGTCAGGTTCATAACAGTTTTTTATTCGGGTTACGATTGAATCACAGGTGCCCGGACAGGTCAGTTAAGTTGTCTGGCAGGCGATAATCTCTACTGATAATGGTGGATGTCGAGCAGGTGGTGGCAGGTCCAGCAACGAGTTTGTCGTGAACTAAAGTTTGGTGGCCGCTACGTCTTACGCATCAGCCACTACACCCTGCCTCTGAGACGGAGAAGCAGCAAGAGTGGGCGAGACAGTGCGGTCCTCCTTTGCCTTTCGGTCCATGTGATATTCCAGGCCCAGTTTGCTCAGTAGTCTGGCGAGTTCTTCGGATACATCTGCAATACACAGCACTGTGGATCAGTAGTCTAGCCTAGGCTTCTTCCCGCGTTTTGCTTAGTCTTTCATCAACATTTCTTGACAAAAATTCCGGGGCATCAGTTGACAATGAGGAACTTTTGGAGATATCGTACTACTGCCTTTTCATTGCTTAGTTCGTTGCAACGCCTTTCAACCGTAAGCGTTTTATGCGGCAACGACCCCGCGAAATGGATTGCACGTTGTGGAGTTTAGAATACGGAGGTTCTGATTATAGGGACGCAATGTTTGACCCAGAAACCAACTTCTTGTTCTATATGACTACCTGTACGCCGCATATTTGTCAACATTTGGCCATCTGACCTGTATGTGTATCGGCGTTGGTTAAATGATTGGAAGACCATCTCTGGGGAAGACGTTCCATGTCCTGCTAGAGCGCGTCATGGACAATAATGCCCTGCCTAACTAAACTTAGCACAAACCTAAGTGGAATTCTGGATTCAGCTAACGCATGCCACAGCTGTGAGGGATTCGGCTTATTTATAAGTCCATCCATGGTCCTCATGGTATTTGGAGGTATTGAGCTATAAAAAATCACAAGAACGCTCGAGATGAAACCGCATAGTCCGCAAGTTTATGACAGTTATACAGGCAAACTTCCACAAGTTTTGTAGATAAGTTGTTCCAGCATTGCTATTCACTAGTCTTGTACAGGTGTCTGTCACTCGAGCAAGTCTACACAGAGCATTCACTGTAGTTGGACTGCCATAGTTGTGCAGGCCAGTAAACAAGCTAACACCAGTAATCACAAAGCTAGCAGTGTAGAAATCCTCAACATCTGGTAAACCTCGGGAACTCTTAATTGGAAGAAACAGTAGACGAATCATGTGCACGTAAGATAAAACGTATGGCCCCGAAATCCATGTAGATCTCATATTTTGGACAATCCACGTGGATTTATCTGAAATATTACAAAGTCGACCAAAGTTTACACCCGTCTATTTCGTCTTGACAATACTGTACCAGCCTCTGTCTACCCCTACACTGGCAGCTCAGATTTGTGGGCTTGTATCGGTTAGTGGTATGATTAGCGGACTGGGCAGAGCTTTCGCGACTAACTGCCGGGCGGATTGTACTTGCAAGGATTACTGACAAGTCAATACATCACAAAAAGCCGCAGACTAGACGCAAGGGGTAGTCGTGGATGAGTGTGGCGTTACCGGGGTTTATAGAAATTTTGGGATTTGCGGAGAAAATTTTGTAAACACAAGCGTCAACTCAGACATTGAAGGCTATATAAGGACAAAAGGCATAAATGGTGAAAACTACTCCTGTGCCTCTTATACCAGCAAATTAAGTAAGGATTAGGGTGAGGAGACTGTGGGACAAGACCACCACAGATAGCTGCAGCACATTACACGTCTCTTCCGCAAATACGTTGGCGCACTAAAACAGCTTTTTTACAGTGGTATTGTGACTAACACACTGAAACAAAAGCATAGTTTTATCCGATGTGACGGTTTTGTTCCATTCTAAGGTTTTGGTATATGTTTTTTGGTGTCTTATAGCACGAGTGCGAGTAGAAACCGCCTTGTCTTGGTAACAGATTTCCGTGCCAAC